AATACAAGGATGAAATTTTTTTTCTTTATATATATTTATATTTTTTTTCTCTTTTATTATTATTTTTTTTATAAATAATGTGGTTCATGAAGAACCAATACCTCTTCCTCTCCGAGCGTAGAAAATTCTAAAAATGGTTTTAGACGTTGACCATTTATTTTAAAATTATTACTATTTTTAGGATTTTCTATCTCGACAGCCTCTTGCGGAAAAACTTGTTTGACAAAAAATGGACCTGTCCATCTTGATCTTAATTTTCCAGGAAAAAGATACAATTTTGAATTGTATAATAAAACTTTCTGTCCTGGAGAGAAATTTTTTCGCAAACTTGATTTGTTATGAAAAATCTTAGTTTTCTCTTTGTAAATTTTTGAGTTTATGTATGCATCATTTCTAATTTCTTCCAACTCATTTATTTGGAGCAATCTGTTCTTACCTGCCGAGTCTGAGTCAAAATTTAGCTGTTTTATTGCCCACATTGCTCGATGCTCCAACTCCACTGGTAGGTGACAAGCTTTCCCAAATACTAGTCTGTATGGTGACATCCCTAAATTGGCCTTGAAAGCTGTTCTATATGCCCACAGAGCATCACATAATTTTACAGACCAATATTTTCTGTTATGATTAACTGTTTTTTCTAAGATTTGTTTGATCTGCCTGTTTGTGACCTCTACTTGTCCACTGGTTTGGGGGTGATAAAGAGTTGAAAATTTGTGTGTGATTGAATATTTCCTCATTAAAGCCTCAAAAGAACGGTTACAGAAATGTGTACCGTTATCACTGATGATCGCTCGGGGTACTCCAAACCGGGCAAAAATGTTCTCTTTCAAAAACTTAACAACGACCTTGTTGTCATTAGTTTTGCAAGCTACCGTCTCAACCCATTTTGACATGTATTCAACGGCTACTAGAATGTAAACATTTCCAAAGGAATTTGGAAATGGTCCCATGAAATCGATACCTCACAGATCAAAAAGTTTAACGGATAAGATGGGTTGTAAGGGCATCATATTTCTTCTAATGACCTTCCCTAAAAGCTGACAGCGGTTACAAGTTTTGCAAAACTCGTATGAATCCTTGAAAAGAGTGGGCCAGTATAGCCCAGATTCGAGAAATTTTTCAGCTGTTTTTCTTGGGCCAAAGTGGCCCCCACATGCTTGCTCATGACAAAAGGATAGAACACTCTTAGTTTCTTCAGTGGGAACACACCGCCTAAAGATCTGATCAGGACAGTATTCGAACAGATATGGATAATCCCAGTAAAAGTATTTTACTTGGGAGAGAAAACGGGATCTATCCTGTTTGGACCAATGAGAAGGGATCTGGTTCATGACTATGTAGTTCACAATGTCGGCGAACCATGGAACATATTGGATTTCTAGGAGTTGTTCATCTGGAAAATATTCATTGATTGGGACGGTTGATGTTGGTGCATTTGGGAGTCGAGAGAGGTGATCTGCTACGGAGTTCTCTGTTCCTCTTCTGTCAAGAATTTGAATGTCAAACTCTTGAAGGAGAATCCATCTAATGAGCCGTGCTTTAGCATCCTTTTTGGTCAAAAGATACTTTAGTGCGGCATGATCTGTGAAAACTTTGGTTAAGGAACCGATGAGGTAGGACCTGAATTTTTCTAAGGCAAAGACTACAGCTAAAAATTCTTTTTCTGTGACAGAGTAATTTTGCTGGGCATCATTCAGAGTCCTACTGGCGTAGTAGATCACATGCGGTTTTCCATCAAATCGTTGTCCTAAATTAGCTCCAATCGCAGAATCGGATGCATCACACATCAGTTCGAATGGTAAGGTCTAGTCCGGTGCATGAATGATAGGAGCTGTGGTTAGCTCCTTTTTCAGATATTCAAAAGCTTTGAGGCAGTCGGGAGAGAAGACAAATGATGTATCCTTGGTTAAGAAATTGGTCAAGGGTCTAGCAATTTTGCTGAAATCTTTGATGAAACGTCGGTAAAAACCAGCATGACCAAGAAATGATCTGACATCTTTGACTGTTTTGGGAGGAGGGAGATTGGAAATGAGATCTACCTTAGCTTTGTCCACTTCAATTCCCCTATTGGAAATTACATGTCCTAAGACAATGCCTTGTTTGACCATGAAATGACATTTCTCCTAATTAAGAGTCAGATTTTTCTCCCTACACTATTCTAGGACCAGTTTAAGATGATGCAAACATTGGGAAAATGTGTCACCAAAGATGGAAAAGTCGTCCATGAAAATTTTGAGAAATCGCTCTATCATGTCGGAAAAAATACTGATCATGCAACGTTGGAATGTGGCCGGTGCGTTACACAGGCCAAAAGGCATGCGTCGGTATGCGAATGTTCCATACGGGCAAGTGAAGGTGGTTTTCTCCTGATCTTCTGGAGCGATAGGGATTTGATTGTAACCTGAATATCCATCCAGGAAACAGTAGAACTCGTGTCCTGCTAAACGCTCTAACATTTGGTCAATGAAAGGAAGAGGGAAGTGATCGAGTTTTCTGTAGTCAATACAGACTCACCATCCAGTTTGGATTCGAGTGGGAATCAGCTCATTAGCCTCATTTTGGATCACAGTGATCCCAGATTTTTTTGGAACATCTTGGACCGGACTCACCCATGAACTATCAGAAATAGGATAAATGATCCCATGATCGAGACATTTCAGAATGTCTTTCCTAACGGCTTCTTTCATCACTGGGTTTAACCTACGTTGAGGATCTCTCATAGGTTTGGCATCATCTATCAAATGGATTCGGTGTTGAACAATGGTTGGACTAATCCCTTTGATATCATCCATGGTCCATCCAATGGCTTCTCTATTCTCTCTTAAAACATCTAAGAGAGCTTCATTTTGACTGGTAGTTAGGTCAGAAGAAATAATAACTGGTAAAGACTTGTTCTTCCCTAAGTAGGCATACTCTAGATTTTCAGGTAGAGGTTTGAGCTCTAACTTAGGGGGTTCCTCCACAGATGGGCGAAGCTGGACTCGAGGTTCTATCTCCAAAGGTTCTCGTTGCCAGCCAACAGTAGAAACATTTACCAGCGGTTCTATCTCTAGTTCGTCATCAGAAAGCTCCTCAATCATTAAATCAGATGCATTTGTATCAGAATCACACTCTCCCAAAAACATGATTGACCAGCGGTTCTATCTCAAGTTCGTCATCAGAAAGCTCCTCAATCATTAAATCAGATGCATTTGAATCAGACTCACACTCTCCCTCTTGTTGTTCACTGGATATTCCTTGAATGAAATTCACTTCCATGGGTTCATCAGATGGATCACTAGGCTACCTTCCTAGATTGAAGATATTGAGGTTAACAGTCATATTCCCAAAAGATAGTTTCATCTGACCGGTTCTACAATTTATCAAAGCATTTGATGTGGCTAAGAACGGTCTTCCTAGAATGACGGGGATTTGACTTTTGAGATTGGAAACGGGCTGCGTTTCCAAGACAATAAAATCAACAGGGAAAATGAACTCTCCAACTTTGATCAGAACATCCTCTACCTCTCCTTTGGGAATTTTTACAGATCTATCAGCTAACTGTGGAGTGCATCTTGTCGGTTTAAGTTCTCCTACACCTAGCTGTTGATAGACTGAATAAGGAAGGAGGTTGACGCTGGCTCCCAAGTCTAGAAGTGCCTTATCAATGTGAGTGTTACCTATGACGCATGGAATTGTGGGACAACCAGGGTCCTTATATTTTAACAGCATTGGTTTTGAAAAAATTTCACTGAGGTTGGACATTGGTGGTTCTTTTCTTAGTGCATAAGTCCTTCAAGAACATTGCATAAGAAGGGATTTGTTCGATTGCATCTAGGAGAGGGATGTTGATCTTGACCTGTTTAAACGTTTCTAGGATTTTCTCAACCTGCGGGGAGTTT